ACATTCGAGGAATAGCCAGTTTAATCTACCACCGGTTTTCATATCAGTTTATCCATGTTTACAATAATTTTCGAATAAGTTCATTCGCAAAAAATAATTTTTTCGCAAAAAATAAAACATTTCGAATGTTTTGCGAAATGTTTCACGAAATATTTCTGCAAATAACCAACTAAAACATTTCGGGGATAATGTAGAGGCTGTTTTACGGTTGGGGATTTGGAACCTTCGGTGTTATAACAGCAAAATAAGACACTAATTTGCCACAATACAACAAAACACTTTTTTGTTGACTACCCGAAAGGCCGAAACAGCGTTACATCACACAAACTTCCTACCTGAGAATTTTATAGTTTCAATAACTGCGCTAGTAAAAACCAAAATACCTAAATATTATAACATAGCCCCGATTTCCATGTTCTTTCAATGCGACCAACATGAGCGGTAACCTGGATGGCGTGAAATAAAGTTAGTTGGGCAGTTTTGATTTCCGCCGTACCGAGCGCTGTTGTCGGATTTTTAAAAATCGGTTGAAATGCACCATGCCTATATATAGTTATTACTCTATTATTAATATTGATATTTTTAAGCAGTGTTTCTCGTTTCTCTTCTCAACTCATAAAGAACTATACTCTGTTTTTTTTTCTCAGGTAAGATTTCGACAGACGATGACAGAAGAAAAGCAGATGACGTCCCATACCAATCTATTTATTTTACTAAAAAAGTTTCTAATAATTTTAAAGTTATCTATGGATGGGTTTAAATATAAATCCGTCATACGTCGTGTCTTGTTGTTTTTAACCAGTTTTATTGGTTTATTTAAAAAACGACAGATCGTATTTCAATTTTATTGGTTTGACGGAACGATGAACGACAAACGGACGCCGATGCGTATGAACTCGCCTTTAGATTTTTGTCATTTTTGACGCTTGTCAAAGTCTTGCCATATTATAGGTTAGAATTTTGTGTCAACTTTTGTTAAATACCCTGCGTTTTGGAAGATGATGCATTTTGATTCGTATTATTACGTGTGTTTTGTGTATTTTGAAGTCAAGTGGAGGAAAAATCGAGTGAAAATTAACTGTAGACCCAGAGCACAGTTTATGGTTTATATTCGCTGCCCAGGCAGAAAGTTTTATACACCAATGAAGTTGCCATCGATAAAGTTTGTATACCATTTCGTCGTAGATAAGTGCATCTCGTATATGGTAGAAGGATCAAACTAAACACATACTAAAAACTGGAGTAGCTGTAAAATATCGACATCACACGATAGGTAAATAATGGATTTTAGTACTGCAGAAAAATAATGTCAAAAGGTACTGGTTTAAAAAAATTAAGATTAAAGTTAATTCATCAACCTTTAAGGTATAACATTTAGTAGTAGTAGTAGGTGTTATTATTAATAAAATAGTTTGTTTTACTTACCTATGTTGTTTTATTTATTCCTGTGGAATATTACACATTTGTATTTGTACATAAGTTATATTGATAAATATAATCATAAATGCGGGTAGTTTCATAAAGCTTGAAAGTAAATAATAGTTCTTTTTCATATTTTTTTGGTATGTAGTGTCTTGTTCTTGTTTGTTTTGTATTAACACATACCGTTTTTATTAAATAAAATAATTCGATTACATTTTTTCAGTTTTATACAGTTTTTTTCACAATATTTTGAAGTAATCACTTGTCATCTTGTCAATCAAATTTTAAATATATCCTGCTATGCGTTCCAGTTGTACCAACTTATTTCTTTGTAAAATAAAATAAACTACTTTGAAATTAAAATGACAGACACATCTATCACTGTCAAGGATCTTCTCGTTGGACAGACTATAGGACTTCTCAGTGTAGTTTTTTATTTATTTTATAGATTGCATTTCTGGCGTAATAATATATATTTATTATTTAAAATAAATAATTTAGGACTTTTATTGTGTGTGGCTTCTCTAAAGGTGTTCTATATGTCTTTATTTTTAGCCGTCACCCTTTAACAAACTTGTCTGTCCTATAATGACCTAGTTTCTCTGCACATTTGCTTCTATAACATTATTAATCTAATGGACTTGACTGGTCTCTATCGATCGCTTACTGTTTTGAAATCATTCATTCATTGTCATTCGGGAATATAAGATTTGATATTGAGAACAAACGGCCCTATATTTGAAATGTATTTAATGCACCACATAATAGTTTTTGTTTAATGGAACGGTGCCGTACCTAGTCTATGACCTACTAAAAAATTTATAATACCTTTATAACTGTTGTAGTTTTATATTTGCTTCCATAATATAATATCTTACCAGCGCCATCAGCGGCGTAGCGTAGCGTCCCTACAAGGAGATGTAATAAGTAACTACAATTAATATCTTACCAACACAATAAAGTTTTTTTCTTTTTTTTTATTAGCGTCTTAATTTTTCTGGTCTGTAGGTTCCAGTACTATCCTTTTCAAAAAGTCTAATAACTCATAATATTTAGTTTCTTAGGCTAGTAACCTAGTAACTTTTAGAGAATTATGTTCACTTCGCAAAATTTTAAAGCAAAAAATAAAAGTCTTATAAATTCACACACAACCCCCACACAAAAAAATAAACTAAAAAAGTCTATAATATACAGGGTGTCCCAGAAATAAGTGCACGTATTTTAAGGCGTGGTAGATCTCGATAAAAGAAACATGTTTTCTCTTTATCGTTTTTCAAATAAGTCCTAAATAACGGAGTTATTTTACTTTGAAAATTTCCAAAAAAAAATATTTTTTGCTAACATTTTCAGAACCACTGAATCTTTTCTGGATTTTCTTTTTTGTAAATTTAATCTACTACCTATGTTGCCATATTATCAAGAAATCATGTTTTTAACTGAAAATTAAAAAAAAATCCGAATTTTCAATTTTTTTTTCGCGAAAAAATCTCATAGGCGTGTTTCTGGGATTGAACTATAGTCCCAGTTAAAATACTTGCACTTATTTCTGGGACACCCTGTATATTATAGGATTATGACAAATATTAAATTGTCGAACAGCTAGGTACTCTCTAAGAAACATCAAAGATCTAGAAATAATATAAAACGTCAAAAAATTTTAAGAAACTAGACTCAAATAAAAAAATATACAGGGTGGGTCTCATAAAGTGCAAATATTTTTAGGGGTTTGGTAGTGATCCCAGAAAAGATCCAGTGGTTCTCAAAATTTAAGCAAAAAATCAATTTTTTTGAAAGTAAATAAATATCTCGGTTATTTTGGACTTATTTGATAAAGGGTAAAGAGAAAATATCGTCCCATTGCTGCCAAAAGTCACTAACTTACTTTTTATTACTTCCGAGACAAATGCGTCTAAAAATGAATTGCATTGCATAAAGATGTTATAGTTAGTAACTATTCGGTATTAAAATAAAACATAAATAGCCAGAAATCGTAGTTAATGACTTTTGCAATCGATTCTCCGCTTCAAAACATAGTTAGTGATTGAATTTGGTTGTTTGGAAAAATGTTAGTTAGTGACTTTTGGCAGCAATGGGACGATATGTTTCTTTTATCGGGATCTACCAGCCTTGAAAATATTTGCACTCACCCTATATAAAGGCTCGAAACGTATCAAGTCAGTTAGTTTTTGAACAAAGTTCTGTAATAAACGAATTAGCAGGGAATTGGCGAAGGTTTTTCAAATAGTTTATTTTTGTGTAAATTTTAATCAGTATCGTGTAATATAAATGACAAATAAATTTGGTAAGTGTTTTATCGTGAATTACGGATCCACGAAGTCCGTAACACTATCCTGACTCCTGACTCGTTGGCTAAGACAGTATAATGATTTTAATTATCAAAATATCGTCATGGATCATATGCGACTGGCTTACTACTACTACTTATTGCTTATCGTTGCGATAACAAAAAAAATCGAATATATCACTCTACACAAATTCAAGAAGTACCGTATGATCGAAAAAAAACGGCGTCAGCGATGGCTATGAAATGAACATCGCTGACATTTTATACGTAAATTTATATGGGAAATGTAATTTCGATCATACTGTACAATATGATGGAAAACGGCGTCAGCTTTGAAGATCGCTGTCATTTTATATGTAAAATTATATTGGGTTCATCGATGTTCATTTCCAAGCCAACTGGACGCCATTATTTTTTCGATCATACGGTACTTGGATGATACAAATTTGTCTGGTCCATGCAAATGGACCAGACAAATGTTGTAGCTCTGGTTGTAGTGTCCCAGTAAAAAATCCAAAAACCAAAAATTATGTCTATTCCATATGAAGAGCACAAGTGAAAAAACGATGCTGAAAAAACGATGATGAAAAAGTCCTTTTTTGGGAATTTGGTTTTAATGCATAATATTTTCCGTCTAAAAAGCTACACCTTTTGGTACCTAAATAAACGGGAATATCGATAGCAGTCACATAGAAACAGGCATTTAAAAAATGGGAAAAACGATAAAAGTCCATGAGTAATTTGAACTGGAAAGCGCTTTTTTTTTGTTTCCTTTATTTAGCCCAGATTTAGCCTTTTTGAACACTCATCGTTTTTCCCGTGTGCTCTTTATAGGTCTTTATCTTTAAAACCTACCTTTATTCATTATGTGAGTCTAAAGAAGAAACCTCGTAGTTATTGATCTTATAAATTCCGAAATGTTCTAAACTAGTTGGAGATTGGAGACCTAAAAAACAAACTAAATAAATTATTTTTTCCTTTTTGCCTTTTTTATGTTCAGTACCATTATTTCTATATTATTCAATTTTAGTACAAAATACAAACTTCGTAACAACCATTACGCAAAGAGACTAGAGGGCGTGGCCAGAGATTTTGACTTTGACAGTTGACATGACTAATTTATTTGACATTTCATAATATTTGGAAGTTTTCAGGATTATGTTTATTTATATTTAAATTAATTTTAAACTAGGGGGTATATAAAGTAATTGTTTAAATAGAAATGTGCTTTGATTATCGTTAATATGAAAGTTTTATTTCAGATATTCCCACTATGTCACGACAAATGAGTCAGATTGAGCGGAAGCTCGCTGAAAAACTCATCATACTAAATGATCGAGGTGTAGGAATGCTTACAAGGATCTATAATATTAAAAAGGCTTGCGGGGATGCTAAATCAAAACCTGGATTTTTGTCAGACAAAAATTTGGAATCTGCCATTAAGAATATCGTTAGAAGGTTTCCTAATCCTGACATCAAAAGTTTAACACCCATTCAGGGTTTAAGAAATGAAATTATAAAGTCTCTTTCACTATATTATTACACTTTCGTCGATTTGTTAGACTTTAAAGATCATGTTTCTGAGCTTCTTACCACAATGGATGCTTACCAAGTGGAATTAGACATAACAGTCAATTTCGAATTAACCAAAAATTACTTAGATTTAGCTATCACATACGTGTCTCTGATGGTGTTGTTATCTAGAGTAGAAGACCGAAAAGCTGTATTAGGGCTATTTAATGCTGCATATGAAATTGTACATGGCTCTGCGGACACAAGTTTTCCCAGATTGGGATCCATGATAATGGATTATGATATTCCTTTTAAAAAACTGTCGGAAGAATTTGTACCTCATGCTAGGATACTAAGCCAGGCATTATATTCATTAGGACCAATTTATATATCACGAAATGTATCTGCTGATAAATGGAGAAAAGAACAAAAATTAAGTTTAGTTGGTAATCCAGCTGCTCTGCTTAAGGCTGTATCGTCTGAAAATATGTCTTGTGAATATTTATCTATGGATACAATGGAAAGATGGATTGTTTTTGGAATTATGCTTATACACAACGTTCTATTAGACACCCGACAAGATTACTTCAACAAACTTCTTTTAAATACCTTAGAAAGCTTTTGGGTATTGCCATTGTTTAGAGATGAAGTTTTATATATACATCAGTACATTTGGTCCTTCCTTGATACTCTAAAGGGTTAGTATCTATATTATATCCACATAAATAAATTTAGTGCATAAACAAACCACTAAGGAAAAAATTTTGCAGGGTACGGTAAAAGAATTTCTGAAATCAAAGATGTTCACCAACAAGCAGTTCAAAAGGCAGGTTATAATCATAGAGAACGACGAAAATTTTTAAGAACCGCTTTGAAAGAACTAGGTCTTATTTTTATGGATCAACCAGGGCTTTTAGGTCCAAAAGCTTTAATGGTATTTATGGGATTGTGCTATTCCAGAGATGAAGTGCTATGGTTGTTAAGACATAATGATAATCCTCCACAACATAAAGCAAAAGGTAAATACATATTTTATTTATTAACACTTTAGTAGTCTCTTTTTCATAGTACTTCCAAAAGAACAGTTAAGTTCATATTAATACAAGTGCGAGAACTAAAGGTTTTTCAAAATTAAATTATCCTTAATTATCGATGCTTTTTGACTAGCAATATAAAGACTAGATAATATACCCACTAAAGGAGTCTAAATTGTTTAATATAATAAAAGGTAGAGTTACGTATATTGTTTTTTCCTGTTAATCTAAATGGAACACTTTGTATTATAGGTCAACACAGCTTTTATCCATCCATTTTATGCACTTTTTGTATTATTATTTTTTTACTAGTATCCTTAATTATGTATAATAAATATACAGGGTGTTTCAAAACAAATGCGAAAAACTTCAGGGGGTGATTCCTTGTTCAAAATAAAGGGTAGTTTGCTTTATATACGTTGGGTCCAAAGTCAACCATTAGGGAGATATCGCGGTACAAAGATGGCGGAAAAATAATGTTTTTATTTTTTATCTTGAAAACGAAAAGAGATAGACTAATGAAATTTTATGGAAGCATTACTGTTATGAAAACACACTTTCTGGTAATTTTTTCATTTTTTTAAAATGAGTGGAAGGGGTTGAAATAAACTGCCCCTATCATTCTTGTTAACGAAATTTAAAGAAAAATCTTATCAAACACATGCAAAAAAATTAATTTGGATAGTTTAGTTTGTTTAGAAACTTTTTTATCTCTTGTGTTTTTTGATAAAACTCACCGATTTGAAATTAAAAAATAAAATGTAAAGCATTACATGTCAGGACAAAAAACATTTTTAGATTAAGAATCTAGTGATAATAACGATAATAATAATCATCTAGATAATAACGTATTGCAGTAGAGTAATGTCAAATAAAATAATATTAGGAACATCCTAAAAAGTAACAGCGGCCGACTAGATTTTTTCCTAAAAAAAATTACAGCAGCCAACTAGATTCTTTATCAGAAAATGTTTTTGTCCTGACATGTAATGCTTTACATTTTATTTTTAATTTCAAATCGGTGAGTTTAAAAAATACAAGAAATAAAAAGTTTCTAAACAAACTAAACTATCCAAATTAATTTTTTTGCATGTGTTTGATAAGATTTTTCTTTAAATTTCGTTAACAAGAATGATAGGGGTAGTTTATTTCAACCCCTTCCACTCATTTTAAAAAAGTGAAAAAATTACCAGAAAGTGTGTTTTCATAACAGCAATGCTTCCATAAAATTTCATTAGTCTATCTCTTTCCGTTTTCAAGATAAAAAATAAAAACATTATTTTTCCGCCATCTTTGTACCGCGATATCTCCCTACTGGTTGACTTTTGACCTAACGTTTATGAAGCAAACTACCCTTTATTTTGAACAAGGAATAACCCCCTGAAGTTTTTCGCATTTGTTTTGAAACACCCTGTATAAACAAAGCTAGTTTCTTCTGCTATAAAAATTAAGAATTTGGCGAAGGCGCTTTAATTTCACATAAAAAATACTAATGAACATGATTAGTTTATTGTACTGATACAACTGAAAATAATTGTTATTAAACAGAAAATTAGTGTATATAAATTCGTTTTTTTATATAAAAATTATTTATCAAAATATAAATTGGGATTAAAACTAGAGTATACTATTTTGAAAAAGTATAGAAAATATCTAGTGTTGGTTCATTTTATATATACCATGCAATATAGTGTATTTTAATACCCTTTTTGAGAAGAAAACATGTTAAAAGATATTTCAAATTAAAAAACATAAAACATCCTATTTCTTAACTTTGGGGAAGTTTTTAATGAAAAAAATGCTTCTTAAATACAGGGTGGCGCCTCTCATACCCCCCGGAAGCCCCAAGGAGAACGATAGTTTATATCGAAATGAAATTTTGGCAGCATATGTAGGTTAACTGAAAGCATTTTATAAAAATATATAGAATTATTTAGGTTGTTCCCAAAAAAAGTTACATATCAAAGTTGTGTTTTTTCGAATGGAACAGAGTTAATTGATTTTCGGATTCTAGGAAAAAAATAAAGGTGAGTTTTATTAAAGAAGCGTATACCTAAAATCTAAGGATTTTGACATATTTCACATTTTATGAAAATGAAGAGTCAATTTTAAATTTCGATAACAGCTACCTAAATTTTAGTTGACCTTGTATACCCTATTTAATTTCAGTAACCATTGTATGTTAAACCAAATTGAAATTTGACCCGGAAAGTTACACAGGGTGAGACAAAATTATTATGGAATATTAGTCACTTTTAAAAGCAAGTTACTCCTTTATTTTAAATGGAACACCCAATATATTATTCGGATATTCAATGGGGAATTTATATATCTTCAAAATATTATTAAGGTTGCCTACCCCTCAGACAAAGATTTTCCTAGATATTTTAATTTTTATGATTTTACGTCTAGTCTTGAACATATCCCCATAAAAAATCCCAGACTAGATAGATAAAATCAGAAGCATTTAAGTATTCTATTAATTGGTGAATGCACACTGCATTCGCCAACTAATAGAATCATATCAATTCTTTCTGATGTAGGATAAGTTTGCATTTTTGGCAAATATCTGAGAAATTTTTTTGTTTTAACTGATACACAACGATAACTAGTTTTTAAAGTTGGTCTAATTAGACAGCTATGTTGAAGTAACGTCAGAGATATCACATCCACCCTAGATTTTATCAGATAATAAAGATCTACTCAGATCAAATCCATGGTACAAAAAAAACAAGGTATGATCCATGGTACAAAGAATACAAGGTATGATCGATAGCGGCTCCAATTTCGTTCAGTTCGTGCATACCACCTGTGACGTCACTAGGAAAATAATGAATAAATAAGAAATAAAGAAAGTTGACAGGAGATCTGCATTTTTTGGGATTATGGTTAAGTATTGTTTATTTTTAAGACTTTTTAGTTCGTTTAATTTAATAATTACTAAAACCAGCAGTTTCAAAAATATATTTAAAAATAATAATTATCTATTAACATGGATTTGGACCATAATAGGTAAGAATACTAAATTTATTTCTATATTCGGTATAAAATTGTTTATTAGGTTTTTAGTTTGCGATGTTTATGGTAAATAATTTTTATGTTCATTGCCTCTGAATTCACATGAGGACAGAGATGAGGATATCTATGGAAAAGTAACCACAAGAGGAATTGTTACATCATTTAAAAAATGTTGGGAATTATATTGTTTCCCATCGAAAAGTAGAAAATGCCAATGCAGATGAATGTATTGTAATTGTGATAGAAGTAATTCCAAGGGTGAAGTTTATTATAACTAGTGACCTGTGCTTCTTTTTATATGTAGATGTTTCAGGTTTTGAGAATAAATCGGTTGAACGAAACCCAAAATTTAGAGGAAGTATTTGCATACCCAGAATATACCCATCAAGGATAATATAGCTCAAATTTCCTTTGATCATAGGCAATTATTCAATGCAAATTATCTTTTTAAGTGACTGAAATATTAAATAGTTTACAATATGGTATATCACTGTAAAACTATATTACTTTTAGGTACAATTAGGGCCAGATACATTTCAAAAAGTGGAATATTATTTTATATTAAATGAGGTATTGTACCAACAATCAATTTATATTAATACCGCAGATTAAAAAATAACAGAATAAATAGTTCTTTCTTTTTATACTACAAAAATAAACTATAGAATACAACAGTATTTAAAAAAAAAGTTATGTCCCGCCGAGATTCGAACTCCGGTCTCTCGCTTCCTAGCCCAACTCCTTACGCACTGCTCCACAGTAACTTGCTTAGCGATAATTCAATGACGGTATATAAACAAAAAAACAGGTTTATAACAATACCTTGACGATTTGAACTGGCGCGCGGAGCGTGCTGACCAATAGCGCCTGTTATCACCTGTGACGTAGCGACCAACCTGCGCAATATCCTACCTTGTATTCTTTGTACCATGGGTATGATCGATAGCGGCTCCTATTTCGTTAAGTTTGCGCATACCACCTGTGACGTCATACGCCGCCACTAATAAAAAAAGACCTAAAATAGGGAAGAATTAGGACATAACCCCAAAAGTTATGTCAAATCATCGAGCTTGACATTTGAAACATTATTTTCACATTTATTATGTCATGTGTTTGACAATTTGAAATTGGCGCGCCGAGCTTGCCGACCAATGGTGCCGTTTATCACCTGTGACGTAGTGACCAACCTGCGCAATATCATACCTTGTATTCTTTGTATCATGGATCAAATCATGTAAATGAAAATATCTTGGAAAATCTTTGTTTTGAGGGGTACAAAATTCCCTCACAAACTCACAAAATTTCATGTCAATACAAACTGTCGTTATCCTTGAAGCCTCCGCGGCGTATGAGAGGCGCCACCCTGTATAAAGGGAAAAATATGTCCAAATCTTTGAATAAGAAGACTAAGGAAGGAGCATAATGCCATCCATGTATTCTTGCATGGTGGGCGGAAAAAGCACCATAAAAGCACTCTAGGGTGGGGATCCTTGACAGTTCTGTTTGACGATTCATTTGACACATTTGAATTTGTTTTGAAATTTTGTGGATTTGTCAGTCTTTACGGAGCTTATTTTATGTTATTTATTATTTATGCTACTACTGATAGTTGTATAAAGGTAGTAAATCTAGATGGAAATTGTGGCAGCACTTAAATTAACAGTGTATCGCGATTTATCGAAAAAGACTCTAAAATAGTTGGTTGTGTAGCGTGCGGTAGATCTCGGCAAAAATTGAGTGAAATAATGGAACAACTTTTCGCTCTAGTAAGTGACTATATAATATACATACGTGTAGTAAACCGATCATTTATGAAATTCACTTAAATTAACTAAATTATATATTTTTCTTGCATTTTAGCTTTTATTTATTACTTGTCAAAGATTAGATGTCAAAGAATTTAGATACGTTAATTTGACTTGCCTGCTTCAGTAGCGTATCGGATGTTTGTGGTAATAAATACTTCTTATAACTTATCTATTTTTATTAGAATTATATATTTTTATAACAATTTTAATAACTACCAACATTTATTCACAACGTAAAATAAAACAACAAATTATTGAGTCTACCCCACGTCTACCCTACATCATAGTTTTACATTTTTTTTAAATAAAATTAGAACGACACTGATAAACCGGAATTTAAGTCGGCCATATTTGAGGCCCATCGTGGTGTACCTAAGATTTTTGATATGCTCCTTCCTTAGTCTTCTTATTCAAAGGTCCAAATAGATCTAAAGCAAATCATGGGCAATTCAGACAGATACTGTGGTTCATACAACATTATATTTTTTCAGGAAAATCTACAGAGGACCTAGTGGATCGTCATTTACCTGAGCTGCTCTTTCACATGGAGGATCTGAGGGTACTTGTGCGAAAATACAGTCAAGTCATGCAAAGGTATTATGTTCAGTACCTTTCTCATTGGGACGCTGTCACTCTCAAAGAATATATGCAAAAACTACAAACTTGCCCAGAAGATGAAGGCGTTATTTTGTCTTCCTTTTGCAACACAATTTCCAGCTTATCTGTTAAACAAGTTGAAGACAACGACCCCTTCAACTTCTTTGCATTTAGGTTAGATTGGTTTAGATTGCAAGCATATACATCTACTCAGCAATCCAAATTAAGGATAATGGATAATAAACATATAGCACAGTTATTAGATATGATTCAGTTCCATACTAGGATGGTTGATACGCTTGACGAGATGTTGAAGGAAACATCCGACTTGTCAATTTTTTGTTTTTACAGCAGGATATTCGAGGATCAGTTTCATATGTGTTTAGAATTTCCAGCACAAAATCGTTTTATTGTGGCTTTTCCGTCAATTTGCAGCCATTTCCAACACTGCACCCACGAACTGTGTCCCGAAGAGCGGCACCATATTAGGGAACGTAGTTTGTCTGTGGTAAACATGTTTTTGGATGAGATGGCCAAAGAAGCCAAAAATATTATAACCGCTATCTGTGACGCTCAATGTAAAATGAGCGATCAGCTACTACCGAAAAATTGTGCAAATCTAATTTCACAACAAATCAATCGGAAAAAGAAGGAAAAAAATAAAAAGAATGTAACAGAAATTGAGAAACCAGGAAAAGAAAGCTACCGAAAAACACGCGAGAACTTAACTACAATGGACAAGCTTCATATGGCTTTAACAGAATTATGTTATGCGATAAACTATTTTCCTAATATTAATGTTTGGGAGTATACCTTTGCACCGCGGGAATATTTACACCAACATCTAGAAACCAGGTTTGCCAAAGCTTTAGTGGGTATGGTTATGTTCAATCAAGACACAAACGAAATCGCAAAACCCTCAGAACTACTTGTGTGCGTTAGGTCATATATGAATGTTTTACAAACTGTTGAAAACTATGTTCACATCGATATTACCAGAGTTTTCAATAATTGTTTATTACAACAAACCCAGCACATGGATAGCCACGGAGAAAAAACTATAGCTTCCATATACACTCAGTGGTATTCTGAATCTTTATTGAGGAGAGTTAGTGGGGGTAACATTATTTTTTCAATGAACCAAAGATCATTTGTAAGTATTAATTTGGAAGGAAACATTCCATATAACCCTGAAGAATACTCTGATGTCAACGAACTTCGGGCTCTTGCTGAACTTATTGGACCTTACGGTATGAAACAGCTTAGTGAAACATTAATGTGGCACATAGCAAGTCAGGTTGTGGAACTTAAGAAACTGGCCGAAATCAATAAGGATGTGTTACTTTTATTGCGAACTAACTTTGACAAACCCGACGTAATGAAGGAACAATTTAAAAGGTTAACAAACGTTGACAATGTTTTACAAAGAATGACTATTGTAGGAGTAATTTTAAGTTTTAGGCAATTAGCACAGTCCTGTCTGACAGACGTTTTAGAACAAAGAATACCGTTTCTGTTAAGTTCAATTTTAGATATTAGACATCACTTGCCAAGCGGCGATCCAATGAAAGTTGTCAGTGAAATGACTTCCGCTGCTGGAATTAGCTGTAAAGTTGATCCAACCTTAATCTCATCATTAAGGTTACAAAAAGTTGATGAGGCTGACAGTGAGCAGCATTTACTAGTCTGCTTGTTAATGGTTTTTGTCGCTGTTTCAATACCAAAACTAGCCCGATCGGATCAGTCGTTTTATAGGGCATCTTTGGAAGGACATACAAATAATATCCACTGTATGGCTTTAGCAGTCAATCACATTTTTGGTGCGTTATTTACGATTTGTGGTCGGGACGATATAGAGGATAGGATGAAAGAATTTCTAGCATTAGCTTCTTCAAGTTTGCTGAGACTGGGCCAGGAGGCGGATAAAGATGCGGTTAAAAACCGAGAATCTGTTTATTTGTTATTAGACCAAATTGTTCAGGAGTCGCCGTTTCTGACAATGGATCTACTGGAATCATGCTTTCCGTACGCGCTAATTCGTAATGCTTTTCACGATGTCTATAAGTTAGAACAGGCTTTGTAAGGGCTATTTATATGATTAATTTTTTTTCTGTTTTATATTATTCCAAAATGAATTTGATATTTTTATTATAGGTCTATAATACATAGGTTGACCAGTAATTAGATTTCTTAATATAGAATAGAGTGAGGAAATCCAGATATTAAAAAAGATTTTGTGCGTTTAAAACATATAAGTATTCGCAAAACAATTTTGGATGCACGTGATCAACTTTGAGTGATGGCGACAGCGCTGCCAGATTGTGCTGGATTTATGAGATGAATTTTAATGTAAAATTGGGAAACAATATATTTATTATATCATTTTTTAAAGATTTTTACGTTTTATTTTTAATTTAATAATTAATATTTTAGTAATTAATTTATTTATTAACAGTAGTCACTAACACTAACAGTAGGATAATAAAGAACCTGTATTTTCACGTTCCTGTTTAAAATAGTTTATCAGGAAAGCTACAAGCTCTTTGCTTCGACTGTTTAAATGCTTCGGCATATTTTCAACACACAATTGCAAGAAATGCAATACAAAAACTCGAAAATTTAGTTCTTATAAGAACTGTTTGTGCTTAAAAGTACAATTTTTAAAAAAAGATTATGAAAATTGGCAAAAAACGAGAATTACTCCCAAAGATTCAACAACACGATATTAGCAAAATAAAAACACTAAATCACCACAATACACCAAAACACTTTTACTTTTACACTGGACGCGCGTTTCGCTAACCATGTTAGCATCATCAGCAGATGATTATAAGCTCAGATCTGCTGATGATGCTAACATGGTTAGCGAAACGCGCGTCCAGTGTAAAAGTAAAAGTGTTTTGGTGTATTATGGTGATTTAGTGTTTTTATTTTTCTGTGTAACACCAAAGGTTCCAACCCTCAACTATAATAACACGATATTATACAAAATAATGATCGTCAAATAATAAACGACAACGTTACTCATCGCGGAGCAATATGACCAACATGGCGATAATAAAAAAATGCTTTAAACTAATTTTTGCAGCTTTGATCTAAATAAAATATCTGTTACAATCATTTGTTCTATGAAGTAAAATGAAGCGCTGCTCGGTATCTTAAATTAAACAACAAATTTAAACATGTTTGCCGAAATTTTATTTCGTCGGGTTTTTAGGCTTTAGTGTCAATTTCGATATGATTGATGATGTGCATCGGAAAATGTTTTGCGTTTACCGTAGGTTGTTAAATTTTTATCATTTATTCAAAAATGTTAATATTGGGGGAAAATGAAGTTATTTCAGAAACATTTTTTAAACCCCTAATAAATTAACAGTACAATTAAATTGGACTTTTTTTCTGGGAATAGAGTAAATAGATAGAAGAAAATCTCTTAGTTTAATTTACTGGCAGTTATCTGTCGAAATAATTTATTCTTTTAGTGGAGTGGACAGACTATATATAGCTTATGAGGAGGGCTGATTACACTGAGTAAAATTTGGATAAATATATCAAATTATTAGCTTATTGTCAGTTCTAAGAAAATAATAGTATAAAAAATATATTTCATAAAATAAAACATAGTTTTTTTTACGTGTGAATAGCTACAAGGTGTGCCAAAAAGTTCGCGAGGAGAAGAAAAGTATTTGTTGAGTTATTCCAAAAAAGTTTATGCATAATTTAACTCAGAATTTTTACATATTTTACACCCCTATGTATTAAGATTTCTTCACTCTTTTTTAATTAGTTATTTATAAATTGATAATTACGAACAAAATCTTTAGATTTTTTTTGTAGACTTAGAGTACAAATAGTTATAAATAAGTTGCAATAACTATCTTATTTTAGACATAAAATACATCTACACATACATAGCTGAAGTATTACCACACATTATACAGATTATAAACTTTATTTTTTCTTTATTGTTTTTCGTGGTTCCAATTTTCGGCACACTTATGGCCTCTAAACTTGTGCACAGCGCCTGACCGGCACAGTTATTAGAGAGATATCGGAAAACCGAATAGCGTCATGCAGTATTTACGCGTACCTTATCATGGTTACGATATGCGCGAGTCAATTTTTTACCGCAACACCCGCTAATAACGTTACCGCCTGACGTAATTTGCGGATCAATTACACCAAGCGCTATTTCTAAATAACGTTTAAAAATTGCTTAAATGGGCATGTGCGAGTATTTGACAACCGGGGCCGGCCGGCGAGATATTTTATTTTAGGTTATGTTTGAATTGTTTTGAACTATTACTTTAGTTTTATTAGGTAATTTGATATTTAAGTAGCTGGGATTAGTTTTAATTAAATAAATATGGTCCAAAATATGGATTCCACCTCTTCCAATATTAAAGAACCTATAAAGAGGCTTAGGTTTACAGCAGATGACGACCTAGCCCTTCTAAGAGAATTTGTTGCTTGATGCCCTAAACCCACTGGCAGACGTTGAATAATAAAGCACTAGAAATAAGAACTTTAGCCCTTTAGTTTTAAAATACCTGGTAAACAAAACAATTTCAAAGTTAGGTTAAGTTTAAGTAGCGGACGCGACGCGAACAGAATTCTTTCCGATCCGATAACTATAAATGAAGAGAGTTAATACCACCTCACGTAAAGGAAATAACACCTGGCCTTATTAACGTCCATGCACGCTATTCGGTTTAGCGATATCTCTCTATTACGCTGTTTATTGTTATTTTACGCGAGTTTATTTTTGCGCACAGGAAATTTTACTCGTTTGCACATCGTCATAAAAAACAATTTTCGTACCACGAATTAGGGATAAGATTTTTATCTGTATACATATAATATATCTAATCTGTGGTATTACTATTTGTAATTTACATTTTTTATAATTTATTAAACTGCCAATATGGAAATAAACGTTTTAATTACAGAAGACATTTTACTATTAAAAATGAAACACATCGTTTTCATATAAAAACAACTATTTATTTATTTACATTATATTGTTTTTACAATGTCAATTACAGAGATTAGCATCAAATATAATTTATTTGATTTACTAAACTAATAATAAAGACAAATATTGTGAAATTGAAAAAGTTTTTGTTCTTTTGGGATTATCACATTTCCAGAAATTTTAACAATGGTAATTACAAGTTTTGCCCCATATAAAAATAGCCTTCTTCACACAGATAATCACGTAAACAAAACGAATGAGATCCATTTATTTGCACGCTTATAGAAATTGTTTACAGGTCGATAATATATTATATAAAAGTTTATAATCTTGTTTATAGTATTTGCTTAATTAAATTGTTACACCAGTTTCTATCGTTCAATTTAAAATTCAGCACTTGATATTGGTTGGTCTTATTATAAAAAACATGCTTTATAAAATAGAATACATAAATTAATAAAATAGAAGTATTCTGCCAGCGCCCAAATACAATAATCGTTTAAAATTTAATATAATACATATCAGTTCTTAAAAATATCTAATTTGTATGAATGAAGGTTTATAATAATTATATTTATATATAAATATTGCTTCCTACTGAAAAAAATTTCATATTAATATTTATTTAATCATATACAGGGTGGTCCGAACTGTATTCCGGAAACTTCGGCAGCATATTCTGCAGATAAAAATAAGTAAAAAAAGTTTGTATAAATGTATGTCCGAAAATGCTTAGTTTCCGAGATACAGGGTGTAGAAGTTTCACTTTTATTTCGATTTTTTCCAAATAATTTCCGAAGTAACGTCAATATTTGGATGAAAATTAATGTCTGGCAAATTTTTGACATGAGAAATTTGATTTTGATGTCAATATGACACCTAATTGTATGGGGCGCCACCTACATTTGTTTTAACGGTTTTGAAGAGTAATAACTTTTCGTCCGTACCTGTATAAAACTACTGAATGAAAGAATACGTGATTTTTTACGTAAAAAATGCCTCTTGGTAAAAATCGCTACGAGCAACCGTTCTCAAGATATTTATAATGGAAATAGTCAATACATGTCATTGTTGACAAAAAAAAATAAACATGAGTAGATTATTTTGAGTGAAATGGGAAATTTGGGAGCGATTTTTACCAAGAGATCTTTTTTACTTAAGAAACGTCGTAAATGTATATTTTTTACTCAGTAGTTTTATACAGGTACAGGCGAAAAGTTATTACTTTTCAAACCAGTTAAAAAAGATGTAGGTGGCGCCCTCAACCAGTAGGAAGTCATATTGACATCAAAATCAAATTTCTCATGTCAAAAAACTCTCAGACAATTAATCTTTATCCAAAGATTGACGTTACTTCAGAAATTATTTGGAAAATCGAAAGAAAAATGAAACTTCTACACCCTGTATCTCCGAAACTAAACATTTTAGGACCTACATTTATAAAAACTTTTCTACTTATTTTTATCTGCAGAATATGCAGCTGAAGTTTCCGGAATACGGTGCAGACCACCCTGTATAACAAAACCAACTAGTTTTTATAAAAGTACCGTATGATCAAAAAATCGAAAAAAAGTGACGTCAAGTTGGCTTGCAAATGGCAGTTGATGGCATTACCCATGAAATAAAAACATTAAAGATTGAGAAACATAAAGATTAAACATATTTATACATTAGAGACGGAAGTGACGTCATCGAAATGCCTTCTATTCTCAATTTTTTTGACGTTTTACTTGACACATTTGATTTATGATGAATTATTGCGGTTGTTAGGTTTGTTTTAAGTAATTTATGACTTATTTTAGTTATTTGCCCTAGTTTTATGCAAAGTACATAAATCTGCAAAGATATTGCGTCAGGATTTCAATCACAGTGAAATTATTGTGAATCTTAGAAAGACACTTCAAATTTTATTTATTGCCTTCACCATATAATTTTACAAATAAAATATCAACAATCTTTATTACAAAACCAACTTTGACGTCGTTACGTTATATTTTTGGGCAATAACTCCAGAAGTACCGTAGAATCGAAAAAAAAACGGCGTCCAGTTGGCTGGGAAATGACGATCGATGACATTTCCAATATAAAATGACAGCTATCTTCATTTCATAGCCATCGCTGACGCCGTTTTTTTTTCGACCATACGGTTACATATAAAGTAAATGTAAACGAGGAAAAGGTAGAAAATATAATTTAAATGAGAAGTTATTTATAGAACAGTTTTATATTCTTGTTTGAAGATTTAGGTATTAATGTCTTATACTAAAGGCTGGCAAAGGTTAGTCTTGGGTCTTGGGTCGAGATTTCCATACGTAAGAA